AGCCCCTTACCCTGGCTCCTGCTGCTCCTCTACTGTTTCCTACTTTGGCTACAGGCAGCATTCTCCACGCACCAGCTACTTGCCTTTCTTCCATTCCTCTTGGCCAGGCTCCTTATACAAATTCTCCATCCTCTTGTCCCCAAGGCCACATCTCAACGCACCCAGCTTGGCTTGAAGGGAAGCAGCCACACAAGGCTGAAAGACCTGTGCCGACCTTGACGCCCCTTCCCCCTTATCGAATCCATTGCTGAGGGGAGCTCACTCTACCCTCCAGGTATCTCCCAAGTTTGTCCATTTCTTCCCATCGTCCCCACTACGCACCCCTAGTCTTGGCCATTGTCAATTCTCAAAAATGACACTAAAACAGCCCCACTGGTTTTCCTGGACACGGATCTTACCGTTCTCCCTGCCAACCCTTCTCCACCTAAAGCCCCAATGATGTCCCTAGAATGCCACCTCCTCTCTTCGAAGCCTTCCCCTGGTGTGTGTGCAAAACATGCACATTCTCACTGTGGTCCTCAAGGGCTTCACCCCATCGCATTCCCACCCCCAACCCTGGCCCTGCCACTTCCCAGCTCTTTCCAGGTACACAGAACTTCCTCTGGTTTCTGGAAGGGCTACATACTTCCTCTAAACTTCGGGTCTTCACCCTTGTTCCTCCTCTCCCGTAGCTCAACCCCCCATCTGAATCTGGTAATTCTTAGTAATTCCCCACTCTGCTGCCCATCAGAATCATTTGGGGGAGGTTTGAAAAACACTGATGCCTGGAACATACCACAGAATCTCTGGGGGTGAGACCCAGGCATCAGGATTTTAAATCAATCAATCTGAGAAAAATCAAGATTTAGGTCTTAAAACCCTTGCTTTACATTAGGAAGCCTCCCCTGTGCCAGCCCCCCCCCTCCCAAAGCTCTAACTTCTCTGCCTAACATGCATGGTGTCTCGTGCTGTGTTCAACGCCTACCTGCCCCGCTAGAATGAAAGCCCAGCGAAGGCAAGACCAAGTCTGTCTGTTTTCTGTTGTATCTTCAAAGCCTAATCCAAAGGAGAATCTCAGTCAATATTTGTGTCATGAATGTTGAAGGTCATTTCAAGGACAGGAGGTTTTCACGTTGTGAATGTCTTTTCCTAAACAAAATCGATTGACACCTCCTCCAAAACAACAACAAACCCCCCCCCCTTTTTCTTATTCAACAACAGCCTACAATTCCACTAATGATTCATTTCTTTGGCTTAAAACTCCTTGTCTAATTAAAATGCAAACAGAGCCCCAAAATACAACACCTTAATAGAATTAGTTGTTATATTTTGTCCTGAATGATTTCATCAGCTCTTAATGGAAGGGAGAGAATTACCATTTACTGAGTGCATCCTGTGCACCAGGCATTTCCACATCCCTGAAGCTCAGAGAGATTCAGGAATTAGCCCAAAGTAACAAAGCTGGTAACCTGATGAACCAGACTTAAACTGACATCTAACTAAGCCTGTGCTCTCTCAACTCCAGTTCAGAGGGGGAAATGCACAAAAGAAAGGGAAGGGGCACAGAGAAAACGGGCCTGGGCCTGAGAAGAACCAACTTCACCTTCTCCACTTGACTGAGGAAGGTGCTGGACGCTGGGACCGGCTGGGGAGGAGGGTGGGGATATTAATGGCTACAACATCCTTCCCGGTGCTCATCCTCTCTTCTATTTCTGTGTAGCCCATTAGCAAATCCTCTTGGCTTTGCCTTCAAAACGTATCAGTGCTCTGATCACTTCTCGGTGCCTTCACTGCCCACTCACTGCCCACTCACTGGATCTCTGCAATAGCCTTCCAGCTGCTTTCCCTGCCACCACCCTTGTATTCCCCCCCCCAGGATCAGATCACTTCCGTCTCTGCTCAGAACCCTGCAGAGCCCCCACTGCTGGCTCCTGCCCCCCCCCCGGCCAGCCCCTTCTCCCTTGGGCCTCATTTACAGTCCAAGCCCCTCAGTCAGCTCCAGCCCTCTGGCTCCACTGCTGTTCCCCCAACACTCCCAGCACCTGCCTTCCCTCAGGCTGGGGTGCCCCCCCATATCCGCAGGCCCACTCCCTGGCCTCCTACAGATGCCACCCCCTCAGTAGGGCCTTCCTGGACGAGCTCTATCTACAACTCTCCCCCCTCCCCTTTGGGGATCACCCTATGGGCTTTAATGGCCCGGTCACTCAGTACCACCTGACGCAGCACACACCCTCCAGAATGCATTCTGCCCGAGGGCAGGGATTCCTGTCTGTCTTGGCCTGCGCTCTATCCTCAGCATCTAGAACACTTGGCATGTGGTAGGTGTTCAGTAACTGTCTGTTGAGTGAACGGAGGATTCTGAGAATTCCACTGAGAAATAGGAGAACTCTCTACTTTGGGAGATACTATAAATCCTTAAAGACCTGCTGGCTCAAAGTCAGAGTGTGATTGCTAGGGAGGCTGGGGGCTCTCATCCAAGCCAAATTAAAAATCATATCAAATGTCCAATTCTATTACCAGAGAGTAGTCTGAAGACTTAGTGTGTGGACTGACATGTAGATGCTTAACAGATATTTGTTGAATAAATAGGAAAATATAATCTTTTATCCTAACTAAAAACTAACAGAGGTGCCAGTGATTCAAAAGGCCAAATTTTGTTTTATTATGCACGAAGTTTAGACTTTTGCCAACTGGAGACACAGGAAGTACTTCTTAATTGCCTTGATTATACAAACATTATAATATAATGGGGCAGTTAGTATATTGGAAAGTGCACAGCTTGGGGGTCGAAGGGGCACAGGGAACCCCAGCTCCTGGCTTGGAGGCTGAGGATCTCTGGGTTACCCAAGTGGTTTTGTCTCAGTGGGTGATACAGGCCTAATAGGTTGTTTCTAAGTTTCATTCATCTTTCTCAAAGTCTCTCCTCTCCATCCCGGAACCAGCAGATTTTTCAATCAGATTTCTGGGTTTTACCCCAGACCCACTGAATACCACTGGGGAGCAGTACAGCCAGGAACTTGCATTTTAAACAAGCATTCTCCAGGCCTTTAGGCCTGCTGCTGAAAGACTGGCTACCATTCTGCTCCTCTGAGTAGTCGTGGATGCAGTAGCATCAGTATCACCTGGAGCTCCTTAGAAATGCAGAGTCTCAGGCCCTTCCCCAGACCTTGTCAACAAGATCCTGGGGGGTGATCCCACTTTGAAAAGCACTGCTCTATCACACTTGATGTGATCGAACTTCAGAGCCCTCCAGCCCCTCTCCAATCTCCTAAGGATCCTCCTGAAAATCTTTTACCCCAGAAATAAGCCTTTCATTTCACGATAAGGAACAAGCTCATGATGCCGAGGTCTGTCTGCCTGAATGAAGGCCCAGGGGGAGGTTCCCACGGGTGGATCAAGGCAAACTTTTTGTTAGTAACACTGTTCGGTGAGTGATGGGGACCAAGAATAGGACCGTGTATTTAAAGAGGAAGAGATTGATCTTGAGGGAGAAACAGGAGGGGAAGAGGGACCTGGGACAGAAACTGGGTCCAGCCCTGCCCGCCTGGGGGTTTTCACGTTGTGTCTGCAAGGGGCTCAGCTTCTGGGTAGACGGTTTGGGGAGGTTTCTGGGGAATTTGTTAACCATGGGCAGAGTCAGAGAGACATTGTTGCCAATGGCTAAAAGGACCCCTTCAATGAACTAATCACACTTATTTATATAGATTTTTATTTTTATTTTGGTTTTATTATTAATTTATTTTTATCTTTATTGTTGAAAGTATTTTTATTTTTATATATTTTATATACTTATATATTTTTAAAGCATCCTTGAAATCGTGAAGCATGGTTTCTGTTTAACTACAACGTAAGAGTACAACAACAACAAAAACGAAACAGAAAGTTACTCAACTATGTAAAGAACACACACAGCAAAACTCACATCAACCAACATAGGGAACTATTTCCTATGTACCCAGTGTAGACAGAGAGCCACCTCTGTAAAGGAGCAAAACCAGAACATTATTGGCTTCACGGGACCAGCTGAAGATGCTTTTGACGCTCTGGTCAACGTTATTTATGGACACTGAGTCCTAGTTTTGTACACCAGGAGAACCGATGTTTAATGAGGACTTTACGTATTTCACAAAATGAACAGCAACCCCCCATTCTCCCTGTAGTTTCCCTTCTTTGGGAACCTAGATTTTTTTAAAAATTAATTTTATTTTTTCCATCACCTTTTATCCCCTCTCTGCACTCTACCACCTCCACCCCGCCCTCCAGCCTGCAATCACCACACTGTTGTCCACGGCCATGAGTTCTCTCTTTTTTTCTGTCAATCCCCCCAATAC